GTCGCCAGCTGAAGGATGGGCCTCATTGTTGAAAAGGAAGATCAACAAGTGCTAGAGAGATATTAAGGAGATGCTAACCTCCAACTGAGACTTTCTCCTCACGTAGTTAACTGAAAAGGAAGGAACTCTTTCCCCATGGTATTTAACTTGCCTGAATAACTCTTACAATGATCTCATGGACAACTGATGGTTGGCACCCACTCTGTGGAAAATGCTGCGTCAGCGGTCTCTGCCTGCCTGATCCTGTGGTCAGCTGCCCACCTGGACTTGACCACTGCTGCCCGCCTGCACTTGACCACTGTTGCCTGCCTGGACTTGACCACTGCTGCCTGCCCGGACTTGACCACTGCTGCCCGCCCGGACCTGACCACTGCTGCCCGCCGGGACCTGACCACTGCTGTTCACCCGGACCTGACCACTGCTGCCTGCCTGGACCTGACCACTGCTGCCCGCCTGGACTTGACCACTGCTGCGCCCCCCATGCCCACCATACACTGTATTGCAGACCCATCAGGCCTGGGCAGCTACTTTCCCCCACTGGATGAGCTTGGCTCTAGGTCCAGCCATCTCAGGAAGTTAAAATGGAGAGAAGGATACAAGAACTCACCTTCTGAGCCCTTCCTAAGTGACAGACACTATAATAGGTGTTTTACATAGATTATCTCAATTTTTCCCCATTTCAGTCATTCATGTACCACCTTGTTGATTTCTGCCATATTAGTATTATTCATTTACTTACTCTTTTTCTTTAAATTGATTTGCTTTTTAAAAAGGGCAGGATTTTACTTTAGAAGGAAATGCTATATTATTTTCATAAATCACAGAGTTTGGTGTGCCAGTTATAGTTTTCTAACATGCACCAATCGTGAGCTACTAAAATAATAAATGTTCATCCATATACCACCTAAAATCATTGTGCACACCATCAATCACACACATGCCAGCCTTTGGGAAATACTGTAGCATCTTAGTTAATGCTCACACATCCCTGGAAGGATGGTTTATAGATATGAACATGGAGACTCAAAGGGTTCCCTGCCCGAAGTTCCACAGGAGAAGGGCTTGGGGCTGAGATTTGGGTATCCAGACAGTCTAACTCCAAATGCCCAGGCTCTTTCAACACTAGTACTTTCCAAATGCATTTTTTAAAATCCAAAGAATCCTTTAAAAATGAAAATGTGTGTGGAAATCCAATACACAACACAGATAAAATCAGAGCTTTCTAAATTTAAGTGAGGTTGTTGGGTCCAGAGCTTCTTTTTTTCGGGAACTTCCCTTGCCGAAATGCATCCTATAGCGGGCCTTGAGAACTCATCTCAGAAGCCAGAGACTCTGAGGTATATTATTTTAAACCCACATTGTGCCACCCTGTCTTTTGACTCTATTTAGTCTCATTTATCCTGTAAGCCAAACTCCTAAGGGGCAACTTCTGGGTCTATGTTATCCTTTCTGGTTGGGCACCTCCATCTTGGACCTTTGCCATCTTGAAATTTTCCATCTTGCCATCTTGAAATCTTCCACTGGGATTGAAAGCCTTACTCTGACCTAATTATTCATTCATTGAACACTGATGTCTAACCTATACCCAGACTTTTAGAGGGCACCAGAGGAGACTGAGAGGAACAGATGTAATGCATTTGATGGGTTCCCAAGCCAACATGGGAGACACATACACAAACGCAGCCAAATACAACAAGGGTTTGAGCAGCCACTGCTCCCTGAATCTCTCAGTCCCTGCCTCTCTCAGGTGCCTGGTTGAATCCTGTGATACACAGGCCTGACACAGGGTCAGCCAAGGGATCCCGCTGGTGCTGGCTTTCGTCCATCTTGTGAGGCCAGATGTCTTGTCTGATTTCCCCTTCTGGTTCCTGGGTCACTGTTCCCTTCAGCAACCACTGCCTGGTGGAAGTCCGGAGTTAGAATCTTACCTCACTCAGAACCCCAAACCTTCACTCCAACAGGAGGACCAGTTTACAATTGTGCCAGCATCTGCAGTATGAAGTTCTGCCTGACTCCTGGCCTCAGCTCACCTTCTCCCTTCATGGTGGAGTCTACTTGACCCCTCAAATCTAGAGACCATCTTCCACCGAAATGAGTATTCCCAAAGGGCCCTTCTCTACCAGGAAGAGAAGAATCTGTTGCCCTAAAAATATGGAAAGGTCCTGGCAGAGTTCCAAGAAGTCTTAAAGGTTCCTAAAGGGCATGACTAAAGCTTTGTGGTGCCCTCTGGCCAAGCCAAGGCTGCTACCCTTTTCTCTCAGTCCTGGCTATGGCCCTGGTCCTCTCTGAGATGCCTCTATCTTTAGAAGGCACTGAATGTCTGCAGAACATCACCCTTGGGGTCTCCCCTGTGCTGTGGGACCTTAGCTTGAGCCTAAGCTCAAGGTCCAGGAAGCTTCTCCCTTAGGAGGCCCTAGCGGTGGATCTATTACAAACTCCACACAGCTCCAGTCGATTCGAGCCAAGTCAAGTCAAACTCAACTCAACTCAACACATACTTACTATCTCTTTGCCAATTCCTTGTTACCCAGAGCCAGGCTCCGGTTGGGGGAAAGTGAGAATCCAACAGTTAACAAGCCACAATCTTTACTCTCAGGGAGTTTTCTGTTTTGCACCTAGATTCCAGACTCAAATATTTCCTTGAGCTGAGGGAATCCTTTGCACAAGGGGCTGGAGAAACCACTTCCCTTTCTGACCTGAGACAGCCCAACCAGCAGCCTCATCCCTGGGGTCTGCTCCACAAGACTTCTCAAACTAGCCTCCTGGGGTTGGATGACTCCAAGACTTCAGACTGCAGAGACTGTTGATCCCTCACTCCTAAGGATCTGGTTCATATGGGTCCTGAGTCATTCATTCACTCATTCATTCACTCACAGATGTACGTTGAGCACTCACTATGTGCCAGACACCTTGCAGACATTATCTCATTTAATTCTTACAGCAATCATTGTGGATGCAGAACCAGTGTGTGGACAGCTAGAATTTCATCCAGCCCTAATTCCAGCTAGAATTTCATCCAGCCCTAATTCCACATCCCATGCTCTTTCTGTCTCATCCCACTGTCTCTTAGAATAATTGAACAGAACCCATAATAAAGGAAAGAGACAGCTGAATGCTTAAACAAACACATTCTATGTGGAGGGAAAGAGTGGATTAGTGCATATTTTATGTAAGGCGAAATTCCACCTGACCAGTTTATTACAATTCTTTGAGGAGTGAACCACTTAGGGAGATAAAGGGTGACTTTCATAAAAAGCCTTTGTCAAGTTTCTATCCCAAAGCCTATTAATAAAATTGATTCATTATAGAATTGGGCAGAGGTGGGTGGTGAGTGGGAGGGAGTCTATTTTTGCCTGGATAGAGAACTGGCTTAAAGACAAGAAAGAGAGAGTGGAGAGAAAGGGGTGCTTTTTCAAATGCAGGACTGGGGTTCCCCAGGAATTGGTACTGGGTTGGGTCTTATATAACACCCAGTGCACATGCATTGAGCGCCCAGCGTGTGCAGGGCCTGCGTTAAGCATGAGGGATACCCAAACAAGCCAGACTCAGCTCCTCTCCCAGAGGAGGCCAAGGAAGGAAGCACTCAGTGACATCTCCAAGTTTTCAGAGGACAGGAAGCTCCAGAGGGGCTGGAAGGCCAAGACCTTGGAGGTAAAACTGAAGACGGTGGCTGGGGGAGGGGAAAGAGTCCCAGACAGCAATCAGAAGATTTGAGCTCTAGGGCCAGCTTGTCACTGACTTGCTGTGTGACACTGGGCCAGTCCCTTCCCTCTCCGGGGAAGTTTTCTCTCCTATACACTGAAGGGATGGGACTAGATGATCCGTAAGGGTGTGGCGCTCTAGATGGAGAACAATGACTTGAAATAGGACCTAGTTATGAGAAAGTCTCCATTTCCTGTGGCCAAAATGTCCCCTTCTCTCCCTGCACTGTGATGGGGGACATCTCTCTCTCTCTCTCTCATTTGTGAACAGCGAGGACCAGGCAGAGAGCCACGAGGTCTGTGATGCTGAGGCTCGGAGCCCAGCCTGGAATCCCTCAGTGGCATCCGCTGCGGGTGACTCAGCATCGTAAATAGCTCCCATCTGGATGAGCAATGATATCTATAGCGATCGAGCGATCTCTATGTTCACACACACTCTCTCTGTGCAAATATGTGGCTCACTGTATGCTAAATACGAGGTGGCCTGGAGACGTTCCTCCTCTTAAAAGACTATTTGGTATGAAACTCAAGACTATTTATTTAAAGAAACAAGTTTACAACTATGCATGTTGGATTACTGGAAGTGGGTGGTGGGGAAGAAGCGATGTGGATGAAGGGATGCTGGGTATGATCTGAGCTTGGGGGCCACCTGGAAGCGGGGCTGAGACTGACTGCCCCCTTCATCCTTCTTTCTGCAGCAGGAGGGGGTGATGGACAACACATACACGAGATGCTTGAGATCCTGAGGTGGGAGAGCACTTATCAGTGCAGAAAGCCACAGTTCAGGAGAAAGAGCATAGGAACTGTGACAGGAGAGCCAGGTTCCAGCCCTGCTCTGCCCTGCCGTTGACCTGGGGCAGTTCGTTAATTTACTCATTCATTCATCAAACATGTACCAAGCACCTCAATATGCCTAGGCCACTTGAGGATACAGACAAGAAAAAGCAGGTCAGAACTCGGGCTTAGCGACCTACCAGCCATTTGTTTTTGGGCAAGTCCATTCCCCTCTCTAAGCTGCAGTTTCCTCATCTGTGACCTGGGGATGATAATACCCACCTAGGGTTTTGGGGGATGAGCATGAGTGAATAAGATAACACACAAGAAAGTGCTTTTCTGTTGTCAATGGCTCTGCAAATGCAAGCTAACACCCTTCCACCACATTGACCAACTGATCCATCTCATTCCCACTTAGGAGCATCCTCAGCCATCACAGAGGGGAAAGGTCATCATGACCCCCTTCACCAGGAGCGGGGTATCTCTGAACAGCACCCATGGGTGTGACCCCGGGTGTAACCTTACCTTTGCTTCCTGGCTGAGCTGGAATGCAGGAGTCTTCAGTCAATGAGCAGAGCAGATGGCACGCCAGAGACGCACAGTCCTGGGGGAGGAGAGAAGGTGTTGAGGGGTGAGAGGAGAGAGCTTCTGGGGGAGTTGGCTTCAGGAATGGGTGCCGAACCCCAGACATCACCAAGGGCTGAGGTCATCACTCCTCCTCTGGTTCCAGCAGGGGCCTTGCATCTGACCCAACTCCCAGCCCCACCTCACCTGCTCTCCTGACAGCAGCTGCCCGTCTTGGTCCCTGGTTCAGGCAATGCTCATACGGTACCACTGGCCATGCTGCTTTCTGGCTTAAATGGGTTTCTGACCGGTGGCAATGGACAGGATTTACACTCAGTCAAATCTGGGTTTAAATTCCGGCTTTGGGGAAATCCATTACATCTCTCCAAACCTCAGTTTCTTCATGTACAAAACGGGGCTACTAATAGCACCAGCCTCACACATCAAGTGCCTTGTAAGTGCTTGTTATTATTACTGTTGGTGGTGTTAAATAAGATCATGTCTGTGAAGATACCTATTACATTGTAGCCCCTCAAATTTTAGTTACCTTCTCTAGTTTCTCCTAGAAGGCACCAAGGATTCCTTAAAAGGCGAAGGTTGGGTCTTACATGGCTGTTTCGGAGACTTGCACAAGGACTGACAGAAGGTGGGTACCCAGAAATATTTGTTGACTGAGCAATGCTTGACAAATTTGCCAGATTTGCTTTCATATAGTTAGGATTAGCGAGGTTGATGTGCCCCTCCCATTTTATAGATGAGGGCATGTACACAGAGGGGCTGTGAGCCGCTCAGTTTTCCACAGGGGGTGAGTGTGGAGCTGGATCAGACCCCACAATCCTCCACTGGCCTGCCCTGCTGCAGGCAGGGCATTTCTTGGCTGGACGCCAAGGCCTCAGCCACTGCAGGGGCTCAGCCACTGCAGGGGCCTGCAAAGTTTGGGGCCTGAGTACAACCTGTCACCTCCTCAACTGTTTCCTCTTCCTTCTACAACCATAGTCTTGCTCACAGTGCCTCAAGGAAGCAGAGACTATTGTCTCATTTACAGAGCTGGGGATTGAGGATTTGGCCCAGATCACAGAGACATTTCGGGGGAAGCAGGGATTCCAACAGATCAGCAGATTCAAGGTCCTTTATGTTACCCATAGCCTTCTGGGACCACCCTGGGTAGCAACCTAACCCCTGGGTCTTAGCTCTCCATGGCACTCTTACCTCCTGACAGCATCTCCTCCCCTCCAGCCCCTCCACTGCAATAGCTCAGTGAGCAGGGCCTTCCTGATTCCCCAGATCCCGGCACTTAGCAGAACTTGACACATGTCTGTTGAGTGAGCGAATGAACGAGTAAATAAGTGGCTGAGTGACTGTGCCAGGCCATGTTCTAAATGCTGGTGACACCGCAGTGAAAAGGGCAGGCAGGGTCCCTGTGCTTAGGGAGCTGACAATATTTGAATCTAAAACTAGCAACTGGATTGGAAGCAAGGCAGATGTTACTATTTTCTGACTGGCTCGGTGGGGACGTGGGGGAGGCAGTGTATGCTGGTGGAGCCTGCTGACCCGCCGGGGAGCAGGCATCTCAGAGCAAATGGTGGCCTTCCTGGTGCACTGGGCCACCCGTGCCCTGGGTTGGCAGGCTGACCTTTAAGAATGCAAGGAAAGAAAGGTGGGTGGTACAATGAAATGTTTCACGTCTACCTGCTGCTGGGTCCCAACAGCCAGCGCATTGCCTGGCACATAGTAGGTACGTAATAGGTTTTGCTCAATGAATGCAGGGTGGGCAGAAAGCATGTCAGACTCAGGTCTAGGGGCTTGTGGGAGTCAAGAGTGTTAATATCAGAATAATGACAATGTACACCTGAATGGGGCTCACTCCACAGAGCCCTCTCACCACAGGTTATTCTCACCGTGCAGGGGAGGGACCATACTGCACATATGTATTAGGGAGCACTCTGGGCTGGGCACTAGTGGCATGGACATAAACAACAGGGCCACGGCGGCACTCTCAGTGTCTCTGGAGTGTGTTGAGCCCTTCACATCCACAGTCTCTAATACCCCATTAGCCTGGCAAGGCCAAGGTCATAGTCCTCACCACACAGAGGAGGCACGGAGGCTCAGAGAGGTCCTGATTTGGCACAATTGGAACCACGTCTTACTCTAGAAGTGAGATGTAAAAATCTCACAGCCCGATGGGGACACAAACAATGTGGAATCCATGTGAATGCAGCTTTGTCACAGGTGTCTCACCACCAGGAGGCAGCAGGGAGGGCTTCCCTGAGAAGGCGAGTCTCGGAGCTGAGGGTTAGAGGGCAGTGGAGCAGGAAGGGCTTTCCAGGCAGAAGGAACAGCATCTGTAAAGGCGGGGGAGGGGGAGCACTTCTACTCAGGAACTTGGAGGAATTTGGCTTGGCTGGAGCCTTGGGGAGAAAGACGAGGCTGGGAGGTTGTCAGGGCCAGTTATGAGGGGCTTTAGCAGAGCGCGGGCTTCACCCCGAGAGTGATGGAGGGTGTGCAGGGCTTGGCTTTGTGCCCTAGAGAGCTCCCTCTGAGGGTGGGGTGGGGGAAGGGAGGAGTAGGTAACAGGAGTTGTGCTTGATGAGGTGTGAGGAGGAGAGTGAGCTGGCTTGGGTTGTGCGTGGGGGTGCTGGTTTTGTGAGAGTCAAGCCTCCCATTGGCTGACCCCCCTGTGGAGTTGGAGGCCCTCCCTCAGCCCCTAAGAAGATCACTGTGGCAGGTCCTGGTCTCTGCCCAGCCCCAGCCCCAGCCAAGGCCTCCTCTGCCACCTGACTGCTCCCAAACTGTGTCCTAGCAACCGCGCAGCCCTCACCTTGGCAACGCCAGCCTCTGCAATCTCCTCCTCTGATTGGGCTGCAAGGGAAGGTGCAGCTGGGATGCCTCCTGTCCACTAAACCTGCCCAGAGACCCAGCCGGGGCCACCGGTGCCCCTGGGCTCATCGGGCGGAGGCTGGCCAACCAGGTGAGGGAGGTGGGTCTGGACACTGGACAAGACTTTGGACTGGGAGCCCTGTGAGCTGGGTCCTGACCTCAGCTAGGGTGAGGCTCTGTCTGAGTGACCTTGGACAAGTCTCTTCCCCTCCATGGGCCTCAGTTTTCCCTTCTGTAAAATATGGAGGTTGGACAATGCCCTCTCTACAGTCTAATACTGTCTTACTCCATTCTTGATCTTTTCCGTGATGATTGGTTGGATGCTCTGTTACTGACACAGATTTTAGCATCGGACTCCAGGGATTTTAATCCTGGTTTGCTTGGACAAGTCATTCCACCTCCCTGAGCATAGATTTTTTTCTCTTTAAAATGAATATATCTCGTGCTGTCTCACCCAAAGAGTTAACAAGAGTCAGGTGAAATGGTATAAACGAAAGTGCTTTATAAATGGCAGAGAGCTATACCAATGTTACCTATTTCATCAGGCGGACTGTGCTCACTGATGGTTTATTGACCCCCCTCCCACCCCACTAGCCGCGCCCCCAGCAACAACAGCCAGCATCTGAACACTCACTGTGCGCCAAGCATTGTGCTGAGAGGTTTACACACGTTATCTCATTTTAACTTCACAACCGCATCAGGCACGTGATTATTTCCATTTTCCAGATGAACACAATGGAAAGCCTGTATGGCTATGAACGGAAAAAGCTGAGCCAGGTGCCCTGATTTCAAACCTTGAGCATTTACCACGCAACGAGGTCGCCCCTCAGGCTCTCTTCTCTCCAGCTTGGGTTTTTCCTTTTGCCCAAAGTAGGGATCCAGCTCGGGGTTTGGCGGGCAGAGGGGAGCACGACAACTTATTGAGCATCTTCTATGTGCCAAGGGCTGACCAGCTTCTCAGACTCTCACGTGCACACCACCCCCCAGGGGGTCTTGTTAAAATGCAGATTCTGACCCAGTGGGTCTGGGATGCAGCTGAGAGTCTGCATTTCTAATAAGCTTCCAGGAGATGCTGATGTTGCTGGTCTGTGGATCACATTTTGAGTAGCCAGGTGCTAGAGGACTTCGAATATCATCTTATTGAATGCCGGCAACTAGGTCTTATTAGCCCCAGGGTCACAGACAGGGAAACTGAGGCTTGAGAGGCAGTGCACCTTACTCAGGCTCCCACAGCATGCAAGAGGTGGGTTGAACCTAGGCCCGCTTGACACTACGCAGTGCCCTGGTTGCAGGCCAAGCATCCCCTCCTGGCTGCGTGGTCCCTGCTCGGCTTCTGCCTCCACAGCCGAGGCAGGAGTGGTCTCTGAGGCCCCTGCTAGAACCTGTATGCACTTTCAGTTCCTCGTGGGCAGACTGGATGCTGGCTCCCGAGGGAACAGGGCCCTGGCCCAGGAGGTGTCCCCGCCGTTGAGGGAACATCTCAGGGCCAGGATTAGGTCCTGCACGTGTCAGACACCCCATTTGCTTCACCCTCAATCTGGCTGTTTTGGAATCCTATCTTTATCTAAAAATTTTGATATTTTATTCATCATGGATTTTTTTGCATTACTTTCATTTTATAAAAAAATATTGCGTGAACTGTTATTTATCTTGATGGTTTTTAGTGCCCTCTTATATTTTGCACCTGAGGCAGGTGCCTCTCTTAGCCCCTCACCCTAGCCCTGGCCGGCCCTCCCCTTCCCACCTCATGGCACCAGGATGCCCACCCGGCAGCCAGCCAGCGGATGGATTTATTTCCCAGCAGGGGAACCCATCACTTTGCTTGCCCTTTGGCTGACCTGCTCTAGAGATGGCAGCAGGCACTACAGGCATGAAGGGGCGTCCAGGGGATCACTCTGACATGGGCTTTGCCCCATCAGGCTCCTTAGCGGTGGAGTGACAACAGTAAGTGACTCAACCACAGTGTAGATTATGCCACCCCTCTGCTTCACCCACTCTTCAAGGTTCTGCCTGCTCTGGCCACCGTCAACCTCTCTGCCCTCCTCCCTACCACCTTTCTCCTCCTCACATACTTAGTTTCTGCCTTGTGACTTTGCCAGGCTTCTTCCCACCCCAGGACCTTTGTTTGCACTTTCTGCCTGGACACTTGCCCCATGGCCAGCT